TCGAGTCCCCAAATTATTGTTATATTACAAGCAAGTTTTATAAACAATGCAAAAATATGTATTTTTAACTTTCAGCCACCATAGTAAATACCAAGTTCACATATCTTTTATTTGTACTTATTTAAATATAAACAAATAATGTTTGATATAAATATAAACCGCCCTGAATGAAGGGAATATTCATTTTCTCAATGTTCACGGATGAAAATAAACATAAAGTAAGTGAAAATTAATTGATTACTTTCTTTTATTACATAACATTGTTTTTAGAAAACAAATTAATTTAACCTAATATATGCATTGAACGAGGAAATACATAAAAAAAGCATTCTTCATTCGTAATATTTACTAGATGAAGTGTTGATTTTTCATGTAGTCCAATATTGGATTATTCTGTATATCGGACTGGCAATTCTGCGATAGTGTGAGCCCAACACTTGATGTTATGTTATATTGTCATGAAATTATATGTCTTCGGAACATAAAAGGAAATGATTACAGTAAAAATTTTGGAAAAATTTGAGCTTGGGCACATCTTACTGAACTCACGTCATTTTAACAATATCGGATCTCGTACTATATAAAACGTAATTATAATGCACGTTTTATCTATCAATTGTATGTTAGCAAATGCTAAATGAAAAGGGAAAACCCCGGGATCTGAGCATAGATAAATGTCAATTTTTATCAATTAAATTTAGTCAAAGTTTGATACTCAATATTTACAAACAAACGAATATAAACAAACGAATGTAAAAGTTACGTAAGTTTGTTTATCTTTTTATCTTTTTTGTATTTACAATATAAAACTGACCCATTAATTTCAGTTTCATTATCTTGAGTTATCTGAAGTTCATTTGATAAGAAGTAGTGTATAAAAGTTAGTTTTTGCAATAAGTTTTCATAACCAAACATTTTTTCTGCAATAACCAAGATGGAAACTCCGTACATAATCAGTAGAGGTAGGAATATGTTGTTTTTTTTAAAACTAGTTTTCGTTGCTATGATGATTAATTCGAATTTAACTTCAAACTATTGATAGAAAAGGCACTTTGTTTTTAAACATTTATAGTTCTAATTAAAGTATGACGGACAATGGCTTATCATTTTTTAAGACATGTAAGATCTTTTTCGCATATTTTTTCTTATTTGGCATTCGATCATAAGTTTATCTTTAAATAGTAAAGCATTGCTGATTAATTATGTAGTCTCCATCGTAGTACCAAATAATAATAATAATAATAATAATAATAATAATAATAATAATAATAATAATAATAATAATAATATAATAATGATGAAGATCATGATGATGATGGTAGCGGTGGTTGTGTTTTTGTTTATGATGTTCCACCGTTATATAGAAGTTAGCAGGGTTTAGGTTGAGTACTATGCATTTTGATAACCAGTCTATCAGGAACAAGGTGTTTTTGTCAAAAAATGCGAAAACTATTATCTGAAACGGAAACGACGGAAAGACAATGCTATTGGGCGTCTTTTTTATTTGAAAATAAACTGATGCCCAATAAAATTGACTTTCCGTAACTTAAAGAATCGTTCACGTCATTTCCGACTCGGTTATATCATACTTTTCGTGTCTCTTGACAGCAGGGGGAATTCAGAAAACGCAATCTTAAGACATAAAAACATTGTGCAAATAAATGAATAAACAAGTATCGTTTGAATTTGTTTTAACTGGTGATAGTATTTTACGACTTATCTGCTGTTTCAACATTATATAAATAAAATATATATGTTTTTTTGCTATTACTCACAAACGTATGTTTTATTTATTTTATTACCCTGAACAAATACTTCATTGGGGTACTGTTTCTATAGGTTTTTATTTTTCAGATTTTTACTTTGAAAAAAAAAATACTGCTACCTATGTCACAATACAAAATTTGTAGTCATATGGTACCCCTAAATAAACAGTAAGAATATTTCTCATTGACATATGGGAAATTAACATTTATTTACATAAATGCGAAGAGTAATGGCAATGATGAAGATATTAGACAACTCCATCATTACGTCAATTAATTTCACTTGTAAAATAATACTTTATATATAAAACTTTAACATTTTCAGACGTTCTTTTTTTATTCATTTTTAAAAACTCACTTCTGTGTGACAAGTCTGTTTCATTTACATGAATCTCTTCTCACAGTAAGAATGTGAATACAATTCCATTTCGATTAGTATTCGGTACATGGTTCATACGTGATTATAATAATGACACGGCTATCTTATACATATCAAACAGTCAGTGTACTTCAGTCTAAAATAATATATAGTATCAAACCTCAACTCAACAACAATGGACAAGAAGGGTCATATTAAGTAAATATTATGCATTCAAGGTTTAATACCTTTTATCTCTATATATGTTCATCTCCTATATATGCAGAGATCTGATAAGGTAAGTTGATTATTAAATCTCTTCGCTTTCTCAACCAAAGTTTTTAAAGCCTAATTATAAAGTCTAAAAACAACCTTGACCGAAATCTAAAGCATGTCACAAAACCACCTATTAATCGATGACGCAAACTTATTTCTATTTTTGAATACGTTACCGAATTTTAGCCGAATAGTATTAGCTATTTATATTTATAGTAACAGGATGTTTAATTTAAGATAACATATCCAGACAGCATGACATAGTCTGTCGTTCAAATGATTTAATTGATGAAAACAAGTTTTGACCCCTTTTATCTTTTGTAAAGTTGAATTGATTTTATGTCATAAATAAATTTTGTTTTATCATTAATTCTGAAGATTTTTTGACAAGTTTCATGGCCGAGAATAAACGGTTGTTGGCATACACAATTATTATTCTATATTGCAAACAACTGTATAGTCATAACTATACAGTCAATTATATTTATAAAGAACTTATAAAACAGCGAACCTACTTCTTTTGAGAAAACAAATAGGTCTACTTCATATGTGTATATAGTTTATATAAACTTCACGATTATCCAATGAAAAGCTTCGTTTACAAATGTGTTGTATTAAAAAGTAATGTAATGTAATGCCATTTAATATAATGTAATGCAATAAAGTGAAGCGTAACAAATAAATGATTTCAAAAAACATAACAGAAGCGGTTTACTCTGTATTTCAACCGATTTTGACATCTCCCAACCACCAAGCTTAGTATAATTATAGAAAAGTAAATATAATACAAAAGGGTTTCCTGAAAAGTCAATCTTTTCTGTTAAGCGAAAAGACACCTAAACTATTGCCTGACTGTAATTAAAACTTCATTTGCGGTTAATGCTATTTTAAATGTAGCTAAAACAACGCCAAAATTGTTTGGAAATGAACCAACATGATTCGTCGCTTAACAAAATATCATCCTCGGTGATTTAAACATTAGCTCATGGTTTTTTGTTACGTAACTAGCTATTCTTAAATCTTATTATTAAGTAAGGAAATAAAAAGACGTATTTTTAAACAAAATTGTTTCTTTTTAAAGATTTTCAACTATATAATCAAAGCATCAAGTCTAAACAGTCTAAATCATCACAATCACTGGGCACATATCTGATCGGATTTATACTGTTTATATAATAATAGGGGTAAGAAAAAATCGTCGTGGATTGACACAGGCTGAGGTACATTTTAAAAATTGAATTTAAAAAAAAAGAAAAGAAAATCAGAAAATTTCAAATTTACACCTTAAAAGATTCTGTTTATTTAACTGAGGCTGTTACTCGTTAAATCAAATACTAGGTTGGGATTTACATTAATATATAAAACTGTTGGGGTTCGAATTGGCGCGAAAATGACTTGTAAATCGGTTTAAAGCAGCAGCCTCCAGATACATGCTTATTTTCATAAAAAATAAATTACACATTGGAAACGACATCAACGTAAATTACCGAAAAGAGGAAAAACAGTCCATACTGCGTTAGTCACACGGATGAAATATAGTGATAAATATTGCAAAATCAGTCATTAATCATACAAAACATGTAAATTATTACTTTAATCTCGACTCCTTTCACCTTTCTTAAAATCTTAGTACATTTTTTAGAAGTTTGATTTTCTTATAATATTTTGGTTTATCTGTAGGCATGCATCTTTTAGCTTACGATTAGTTTTAAGCTGGTAACAGTGATATACCTTACACATAATTTTACAAAAATTAAGTGCATAGTCTCATTAGTAAAATATAATTGATATAACATATTTGTTTTTGGCAATTTTCCCGTCATATGACACCAGCACTGGTTATAGTCCGACCTGTAACTTTATCACGTCACATTCAGTAAAATAGGTCAAAAGCATAAACGGGTCACAGCAATTTCTTGGAGAAAAAAAACATATTACGAGTCACAAACTTTCATTTTCGTGCGGTACATGTTACTCTTGTTTTAGTACTAAGTACTTTTATTTTAGTTCAATGCGCACTACCCCGAAACCTAACCAATATATGACGTGCCATGTTATTGGATAACATGTGTGTGCGATTACATTAAATATGAATTTAATCGTATTTAACGACTTCCTGGTATAAACAGATCTACCAAATTTTGTCATTAAGGTTTGCGCCGAGAAGCGGATAAAATGTCTGGTGACAATGAAAGCACTTTTTCCACTGTCTTTACTATAGATGGTGTTTGTCAAGGTATTCTATTTTATGATGTATAATGGCGACAATGATGCTGTTTAATTCAAGAATTAAAAGAATGAAAATAAATAAAATCGAATAAAGTATAAATAAACGAATATATAAAGATATAAACGAAAATGTAAAGAAAATTAAAAAAAAAAAAAAAAAAAAAAAAAAAAAACAACCAAAAAAAAACAACAACAGAAGTAGTTATAGGTAATACAGGTGACGCTGTAGGTACTTCTGTTAATAGTGAAATAGTGGAGATTGAAACATATTTAGAAAATAATAACATAATTTATAAACTCTTAGATTATACAAATATGCAAAAAATCATACTGCAAGAAAGTTAAACAAGTGTGTTTCTCTATATTTTCAGACCCGTTCACAGTTCCGAAGCAGGTGTTCGACCCTACAAGTCAACAAGTAAAAACCAAGCCAGACACCACCCTTACTCTTGAGATCAACAATCCTTATACTCAGGTTGGATCTTCAACAGCGGATCTCTTATCTCAGGACAGTGTTCAGTCCTCCGGGTACATGACATTAGAATTCGATCCACAGAGGAACATGGATGTGGAATCCAACGGTATGCGCAACAAAGATTGCGAGTCGACGGGAAGCTCAGCTGGTGGCGTAGATAAACAGTGCGTTTCAAAGTGTTCATTTTATATTATAACTGCTTTGGCGATATTAGCCACCTTAATAGCTTCTGTAAGCATTATGTTAACAATAAATCTGTGGTCAAAATATGAAGAACTCAACAAGAAGTTGAATGAAACGCAGGTGTCATATTCACTTGCGCAACAGGATCTTCATACGTGTCTTCCATGCGCAGAACTTTCTCAGGGACCTTTCGAGGAGGAAAATGAAGACCTTAAACAACTGATTAAAAGAGAAGAAAACGGCGTTCCGACTTGCTGTGCAAAAACTGCTGCACAATTCTCAACAATACTGAATCTAGTAAGTGTTCATACTTTCTTTTCTTTTTATGTAAAATCAAAACAACAAAAACAACTACAACAGCATCAGCCGCAGCTGCAGAAGCATCATTAAAACAATAAAAACAACATAAGAACAAAAGTAACTAGAATTAATGTTTAAGTGCTCTTAGGCGGACACGAATTATTCTGGTCAATTTCCGTTTACTATTTATTTTATTCTCGACTTAATGAATATGATTCATACAAATATTATTTCTTTTTCAGTTTGCTAAACGAAAGCGTATGGAATCATGTGCTCAAGGTAAATATATTGCAATAAATACTGTCTTTAATAAGCAATATTTTGTTTTGTATATAAATGCTATGACATTTAGATTGGATTGAAATTAAATATCAAAATTTGTCCTTGCATAATACTTGAAAGGACTGATAACATTCTTTAATGATATCAAGGTATCATAACTTTATGTGTTTTAAAGGGACCTTCAGTTTTTACTTTCTTTTTGAAAATCACTTGGAAAAGTGCATCATATCGCTGTTCGTTTCTAAAATTAGAAGATCGGAAACGATTTTTCCGATTTACTAATTTAAATGAAAAGCGGACATGTTGATTACAGGGGTATTTTTATTTATAGATTTCATCGGCGTCAATTTTAATTTCCACCTTTAAGTTAATTCTTTTGAATTGACAATTGTATGAAACGATTAATGTAAAAAATAACCTATTTAGCCTTTAGAAAAGCTGAAGGCGGCTTTAATGTTCAGATAAAAATGGAGCTGTTATAATTTATATTTAGGTACACATTAATGTGTATTTCTTTTTACCGAAACTTTAAGCTTTATTTGATATAGTAAAGAATACATTTATTTCATGATATCATCCAAACTTCCTTGTATTGACAGCTTTGCTGCGATTGGCTACCCAAACAAAAAAAAGATAGGAATGAATCAGTATAATAAATGATAAACAAATTTACCATTTATTCCCAATTTATTATAGATGGAAATGACATGCAAATGAGCCAATGCATTATGAATAAATTGTTAATAAATCAGTGAAATGAATTGGTAATGAATTGGGTCCATTTACCAACTTATTATAAATTGTTAATAAATCAGGTTAACAAATGGGTAATGAATTTGGTCCTTTTCTTGACTTAGTCAATGAATTATCAACAAATCAGGTTAATCAATTGGCAATAAATTAGGTTCGCTGACCAACTGATTCATTAATGAATTGCAAATAAATTGTTAATGAATCACTAATAAATTGTATTTTTTCTTCTTCCATAAACCGAAATTCAATGTATTTAATGAATCATTAACAAATCAGGCTTGCCTGCTTATATTCATTTAATGGATTTTGAATAAATGCAGGTTCCAATGATGGTGTCAATTCCGGAGAAAAATATGAAAATAATAATAATAATAATAATAATAATAATAACATATCTTGATAAATTTTATTTATTTTTCTTTTTTTTTTACAAACAAAAGCTGACTAGATTAATCAAGAACATATAACAAGATTAAAATTTGTGAAAAAATCTATGCCACCACATCATAACATTGAAAACTCATAATGTACGTGCATAGCTCATTTCATAAATATCCCTGCAAATAAAACAGGTAATGTCAGGTAAACATGTAAAGGGGAATAATTCTGGAAATATTCGTGCTTGCTGTTAGGAATATATTTCTAGTTTTAGAAACTAGGGCTTTATGTCAGTCTGAAAACATCTTTGCCTTCCTTTTCAGTGTCTGTCTGAAGCTACACCTTTTTTTATTCCTATAATCATTAAATGTTGAATCTCTATACTGAGGCAATGAATGGCATACTCTGAAATAGAAAATAAAATTCTCATAAAAAGTATCATATTTATAAATAAAATATCAAAATTTAAACTTAGACTTCTGATATATCACTCTGAAAAAAGTATAATATATTTTTGTTCTATTTGCAATACAATCTGAATTTGAATTTCAACTCGAGCCAAATACACTAAAGGACTCAACCACTTTGGACTGTACATGTTCTATTGAATAAAAACCAGCTAGCAGTATATTTCACAAAGTCTGATGATAGATAAATATTTGTTGATAAAACAAACCGGTGAATGTTCGATTTCATTTTCAACAGAGGAATGAACAAATATTTTGTAGCAAGTCCAGTTTTTTACCATTTGCTTCAATTAAATTTAAAACGAAATTGAAAGGCTATGACATTGAATTACTATATGTACATGAACAAAATTCAGATTGAAAAGTATTATTTTTTATCATTTACTAGTACTTAATATTTAAAAAGCACATTGTCGTTTTTAAAATGATTAATATATATGTAGCCCTATACTTACGCTTTAAAGACTCATATATGTCATTTCCTTGGAATGCCCTCGTCCCATAACTAATAGCAAACTCTTCACGATCAAAGAGCCGTCCATCTGCATTTTATTATCTCCCGTTCATCTGCTTTTTACCATCTCATCAGAGTTGCTGATTTTTACGTTCTGTCCTTTCTTTGCTGCTCTTTTCAGTTTGCTCTTTTCAGTTTTCTGCGAGATAACTAAGTAAAAGAAAAATAGTCTTCAATAAAAAAGAACATCATTTTTCATCGCATTCAAATGTGCAGATGAGCTCAGTGTGAAACAATGCAGATTTATGTTTTTAAAATGAGCTGTACATAGATATCCACATGCGTGCATATTTTAAAACTTGTATCTTGTATCATAAATATTTTTCAATCCAAATCAAATGAATAAAAAAAATATTTAATTTAAGGTGGTGCCATTAGGGGGGGGGGGGGGGACGAATCGTCACTAAAAATGGGGCGAGTCGTAATGGGGCGAATCGATCGTTATCCTAATCTGCACATTCTCCAGTAAATTTTATTTTTTGCCAACTTACATATGATCTAGAAGGTTATTAAAAACGCTATGTAGAACGAAAGAAAATTTTGAACTTACCGTCTATCAGTATACAATCTATCAGTAGTCTAGATGCCTTGATATTGTTTTTTATCCATATTTTTTTGTAACACCACAAGTTTTCATCTTCCAAAATAACCGCCTTTTTCCTATGCATAGAATTAATGCAAACGAAATGTTATTCCTAGCTACTATAGTATTGTATAAAGTTCCTAATTTTGCAGCTGCAATGACAAAATCTGTTGTAAGTTAGTTTGTTTCTGACATTAGTTATATCCAAAAGAAAGAAAACTGTTTGTATGGTAAGTTATCTTTTTTCTGAAATGGCCAAAAAATTTCGTTTCCTATTAATCTTGTTCTGTTGTCGGCTGATAGGGGGCGCTCGGTAGGCTGCAGTTCCCTGCAAGATCTTATCGTTTAATCGCGCGGCTGGGAGCCATGCTGTTCAAAACAATAAACTAACAACAGATGTTAAGTCCGCGAGAGAATTAAGTCTTTTTTTTACGACATTTTACCTTTTTACGCATATACGTTAATCTATTCGACAGTTTTTTTACTGATAATGATAGATCTAATCATAAAAAGCCGTGGGTATGGATCAGATTGCGTATTAACAATAATTAAGAAAGACAAAAACTGATCTTGATCACTCAAAAATAAAATCTAAATGCAAATTAGTTAAACATATTTAACAGTAAAACGAGTTTGTATAATTGACTCTTTTTCTGTACGAAACCTGCTGTGGTCATAGTATTATTTTTACAATAGGTTTATCTCTTAGATTTGGTTCGCTAAATTGCTAATCATGGTCACACAACTACATAGTTAGGTGAAGAAGCAGGCGCCTGTTTTGGTTGAGTCTATTATGTTTTGTTTAGGGGGTTGAGTTGTCATACACAAATTTACAATTTATATGCATTTATTTTTTTCCAATGATTGTTATTATCTTAAATGCTTCTGGGATTGTTGTTTTATCAATTCATTTGTAAATAAGATTGTTATATGTCTATTAACGGAATATTTTAATGAACACGAAATTAGTTCACACCTACATGTGTATTGGTAACGTGATGGTTTAAGCCAATGAAAACACGTCAATATTATTTTACTCAGGCAGAGAAAAAGTGTGCAAAGAGTAAATCGATAATCTTTAAGTAGCCAGCAAACTTTGAATTGCAAGTATTTTTTCATATCTTTTCGGCAGAATAAACTTTTCGAGGATTCGTATCGTAAAATGGCTGCCATTTACAGTATCGAGTGATTATCTCAAGCACCACAGCGACTTAGCGCGGGAATTTTAATTATAGCTAACCTCGGCGCGTATACCTTAAATTGTTCATATTTTATTGTAATAAATATTTACAAACTGTGTCTTTCGTTTTTTTTTATCAATATATAACCAATAATGAGGTTAATATGAATAAATAATCATATCTCAAATCTTTGACTATGATTTACAATGAAATTCTACCTTAAGTGTATTAAAAAGGTTTTTAATTTCCTGTAATTTTATTTTGTGATTATGCTTCAAAGCAGTCAATTGACCGTGAATTTTCTTTTCATATTTTGATTTCCTTGAAATCATTTTTCTCATCTGAAAGCATGCAACTTTAATATGGTGATACATTAATTACATTCCATGAAAATGTTTAAAGATATGAAATATCTCATGACATGTTTGTTCATTTTACATTACACCTTTAATTCAGCAAACATAAAGTCTTCACAAAAAGTAGTATGCAATCGTACCTATATTACATACGAATGTATGTAATATTTTTCTTGTTTACGTTTTGCGCTGAGCATGGAATTAATAATATGGTGATGCTTAAACTAAGAGACTTGAAAAACCCATATATATTTTCCAGTGACTGATTAAAAACAAGTACGGTAATGAGTAAAGGGAAATTAAAAAAAAATATTTGTATAGTTGAGAGGGGTTTAATTGTTATGAACAGTAAAACAAAAGGACCTACATCAATGAAAATTTCTGTTATAATTAAGCAAATTATGAACATCTGAAGTACAATGAATATGTTATGAATTGTATTGAATAAATCCTGGAAAATCTCTGATTTTAATGAATCATGAACAACTTGTGAATATCTCAGAACTTTAAAGTGTAATGAATTTGTAATAAATGGTATTAAATGCAGTCGGGAAAAGTTCTATTTCCAATAAATCATGAATAAATTGTATACATTCCAGTTCAAGTGTAATGAATTTGCAATAAGTTGTATTGAATATATCTTATGTTTGTAATCAATGGTTAATAAATCTGACTTTTGTAATGAATCTATAATAAATGGGGTCTTTTCTTTCCAGTAAAAGCACAATTTATTTATGATTCATTTAATGAATCATGAACAAATTGTATTAACAAATCAGGAAAACATGATTTATTCCAGATTTATTCACAATTTTGATATAATTTGTTGATGTATTTTTTTGTTTGGGGTATTATAATGTAAACTACCCGGCTTTGATATTTGGAATTTTACACTAAAGATATGATTACTTGTGTGTTTTTTTGTTAATGATTTACAGGCACGTGTTATTATGTAATGAACAAGGTTACTTCCTTTCCTGAACCGATGTTTATGTTTATCATAACCATATTAAGTATATGCATACATATAAGTTAAATTTTTACGCTAGACTTTTTTTCTAATTTTATATACATTTTTGTACTAGTATAATGATATGTTTATTAAATTATTCCAAATTTTAAAATTTCAGAATCACTCGAAAAAGAGAATATAACTGCCTCTTGCAACTTGTCCACGCCCTCTTCGCCTGGCATACCACCTGCTAGAGCCAATGGCAGCATCTCCGCCCATCTGGTTATGGGTGAAAAACAAAGCGGAAGTAAGTATTAGAACTGGACTAAAATAACAATATGCTGATATATGATAAACGAGCTTTGTGTTTTGTTTGTCATTTGAAATCCAACAGTTAAATATTATAACTTGTGCATTCCTGATTGAGAATTTATCAAACTAATAAGATTATTTTTCTTCAAAATATGATCACTATGTAATAGAGAGTTCCTGTATTTATCTCAAATATAGGAACACTTATATTTGGGCTTTTGTATCTTTTATTTGAACCAATCTTACTATGAAATACAATGTACGATACCTGATATATCAACTTTAGAAAATGTTAAATTTGTAATTTCTGTTCTTTACAGAAGGTGATGAATATCATCCAATCAGACATTGGCGTCAAGGTTTGCCCGGCACTCATATGTCTTATATCAGGATGAAGTCCGAGAATAGTCGAATAATTGTACCGGAAACTGGTCTGTACTATTTATACAGCCAAGCAGGTTTCTTGATATATTACGACAACAATGACGAGAATACACATTCGACACAGTCACTGTTCCACGCCATCTACCGTTACAACGCCATCTATCCCCTAGATGGTAATGAAGAACTCATGCGTAGCGTCATCACACAATGCTGGGAGAAACAAAAGGATTATGGGAGATACACAAGCTACGTTGGTGCGGCTGTAAGACTACACAAGGGGGACGAACTGTATGTGAAGGTATCAAGAATTCAAGACGTTACTACAGAAGCATCAAGGACATATTTTGGAATGTTCAAACTATGAACACAGCAATAATTGTTTTGTTTTACAAACACTGTACAAGTAGGAGGCAATTGCTGGCAATTGTACTTCTAGTTTGCTCAAAAGAATATTTGTTTTTCCAAATACTTTTGAAAACGTCGCTGGCCGACACATTAGTTAATCTTGAACTCTCTTTTTATGAGAAGATTAAACAGATAGTGCAAAATCATGCTCAGTCTCGCCATTGGGTATGTTATTTAAACTACAAATATCCAGCATTTAAGTGCGGATATGGGTTTAGATGGTGAGAAAGTGCTTAAAGCACGCTTTGGAGACGAGAATACCGGTTAATATCAGATATATTGTACATTCCTGAAAAAGTTTTACTCAATCGTCACTCAAAGTGACGACTTGCTAAGAAATGTTCGGTTGTTGAACATTTCTATATTAACACAATTGCATTGGTAGTGGTTGACCACGTACATTTTGCCATCAATGTTTGTTATATATATATCATAAATGATCTCGTTATGTTGTACCAGTGATAATGTAAAGAAGATAACTCTTTAAATAGTTGAGTTTAGACCAAATGAGATTCGTAAGAGAATACATCCAAGTGGAATGTACCCACACCATCACCGCCCAAGAGAGTTAACAGCAGGCTGTCTAATCAACGTCCTCATATGCCATTTTAGAAAGAAAGAATGTGTTCATATTTAAAATCAAAGGAACATTGTAATCGGTTATGTAACTAAGAAGGTAAAAAAGCATATTTTATCATGGTTTTAGTTTCGCTACGTGAGTATTTTTATTGACGCACGTTCCAATCGCTGATACAATACAATGTGTTCCTATGTTTCGAGAGCGTGAGAGCAGTGGAGGAGGGGTAGAGGGGAATGTATTGCCGACCGTGCCTTTACGATTACGCCAAAAACCATCAAAATAGCTGTGATATTTAATGAAATACTTGCTGTATACTTTATTGTTCTACAACTATATTATAGCCATATATATGTATTAATAATAATGTTTAGTATAAATGCATTTTTTCGTATATTTGATAGTAATGAAAGTATAAGAAAATGAAATTTTCTAACAGTGCTTTTCTTGAACAATGCAATTTTAAATGATTTGTACATCCCTGATTGCAGAAAATTTAGAAATTTAGAATTTCTATGTGTTGTAAAAATGAATGTTTATATCTATTTGTTTTGTATGGATAAAATGACTATTTTGTTGTGTATGGTTTATAAATAATGTTCCTTTATATTGAAATATATATTAAAAGATATGTCAAAATTTGCGTTGTTTGTTTTATATCAAGGACACGTCATTTTACCAGACCACTGAAGTTTAGAACATTTATCAAAGAAAGACCATTTAACAGTACTGTCCTATAAAGACTTGTTTGTAACAGCGAATATGTTAAGTCTTCATTTTATGTCCCCTACTAATTTAGTATTTTTTTCCCAACATTTCAAGGAGATCGTTCGTTTATGAACCGTCGCATGTCATTTTGGAAAAGGCCTCCTACAAAGTGATTGTCTCATTAATTGGCGCTATGCTGCGCTTTTTTTTAAAAAAACGAAATTAGATACTTTAATAAATATCTCCTTTATTACCTTGTTCTTGAACTCCCGCCACTTAAGCATGTTAATATAAGAAAATTTTAAGTATATTCAAATGATGAAACAGGTGCGCATTCAATATCCATTCCCAGCACGAACAGACACTTGAACTAAAATATAATTATTTTATAAGACTGTCTTTGCATATGTTATATCAATACATAACATCTATATAATTATAACATATATTGTAACTCTTTATATAACATCTGTTATGGCTGAAGATAGCATAGGACATAGCTTTATATAACATCTGCTATGACTGAAGATAGCAAAGGTTATAGCTCTATATAACATCTGTTATGACTGAAGATAGCAAAGGTTATGGCTCTATATAACATCTGTTATCGATGAAGATAGCATAGGTTTTAGCTCTATTTAACACCAATTATTGCTGAAGATAGCATAGATCATAGCTTTATATAACATCTGTTATTGCTGAAGATAGCATAGGTTATAGCTTTATATAACATTTGTTATTCCTGAAGATAGCATAGGTTATAGCTTTATATAACATTTGTTATTCCTGAAGATAGCATAGGTTATAGCATTGTATAACATCTATTATTGCTGAAGAAAGCATATGTTATAGCTCTATAGAACATCTATTATTGCTGAAGATAGCATAGGTTATAGCTTTATATAAAATCTAATATTGCTGAAGATAGCATAGGTTATAGCTCTATATAACATCTATTATTGCTGACGATAGCATAGGTTATAGCTTTATTATAACATCTATTATTGCTGAAGATAGCATATGTTATAGCTCTATATAACATCTATTATTGCTGAAGATAGCATAGGTTATAGCTCTATATAACATTTGTTATTGCTGAAGATAGCATAGGTTATAGCATTGTATAACATCTATTATTGCTGAAGATAGCATAGGTTATAGCTCTATATAACATCTGTTATTGCTGAAGATAGCATAGGTTATAGCTCTATATAACATCTGTTATTGCTGAAGATAGCATAGGTTATAGCTCTATATAACATCTGTTATTGCTGAAGATAGCATAGGTTATAGCTTTATATAACATCTGTTATTGCTGAAGATAGCATAGGTTATAGCTCTATATAACATCTGTTATTGCTGAAGATAGCATAGGTTATAGCTCTATATAACATCTGTTATTGCTGAAGATAGCATAAGTTATAGCTCTATATAACATTTGTTATTGATGAAAATAGCAAAGGTTATAGCTTAATATAACATAATTTATGTTATTGCTGAAAATAGCATAGGTTATAGCATTATATAATATCTGTTATGTTGAAGATAGCAAAGGTTATAGCTTTATATAACATTTTTTATTGCTGAAGATAGCATAGGTTATAGCTCTATATAACATCTGTTATTGCTGAAGATAGCATAGGTTATAGCTCTATATAACATCTATTATTGCTGAAGATAGCATAGATTATGGCTTTATATAACATCTGTTATTGCTGAAGATAGCATAGGTTATAGCATTGTATAACATCTTATATTGCTGAAGATAGCATAGGTTATAGCTCTATATAACATCTGTTTTTGCTGAAGATAGCATAGGTTATAGCTTTATATAAAATCTGTTATTGCTGAAGCTAGAATAGGTTATAGCTCTATATAAAATCTGTTATTCCTGAAGATAGCATAGGTTATAGCATTGTATAACATCTATTATTGCTGAAGAAAGCATATGTTATAGCTCTATATAACATCTGTTATTGCTGAAGATAGCATAGGTTATAGCATTGTATAACATCTATTATTGCTGAAGATAGCATAGGTTATAGCTCTATATAACACCTGTTATTGCTGAAGATAGCATAGGTTATAGCATTGTATAACCTCTATTATTGCTGAAGAAAGCATGTGTTATAGCTCTATAGAACATCTATTATTGCTGAAGATAGCATAGGTTATAGCTTTATATAAAATCTAATATTGCTGAAGATAGCATAGGTTATAGCTCTATATAACATATGTTATTGCTAAAAATAGCATAGGTTACAGCTCTTTATAACATATGTTTTTGCTGAAGATAGCATAGGTTACATCTCTTTATAACATCTGTTATTGCTGAAAATAGCATAAGTTTTAGCTCTTTATAACATTTGTTTAATGCTGAAGATAGCATAGGTTATAGCTTTATATAAAATCTGTTATTGCTGAAGATAGAATAGGTTATAGCTTGATATAAAATCTGTTATTGCTGAAGCTAGAATAGGTTATAGCTTTATATAAAATCTGTTATTGCTGAAGATAGAATAGGTTATAGCTTTATATAAAATCTATTATTGCTGAAGATAGCATAGGTTATAGCTCTATATAACATCTATTATTGCTGAAGATAGCATAGATTACAGCTTTATATAACATCTATTATTGCTGAAGATAGCATAGGTTATAGCTTTATATAGTATTTGTTATATCTTTATATAAGATCTGTTTTATTTGCATTCTTACCAAAGCTGTAGCGAAGTTTCAAATGCTACACTGGAAAAAGTTCACATAAAAGTAAGATCAAGAGGTCAAAAACAATCAAATGATCAACATTTTAGCGAAATATATATCAAATTATGAACGTGTCAAAGTAGCAACAAATTGCGAAACATCTTAATATATTTACTGAAGCCCTACTAAGAAAGAAGCATTAAATGAAGCCTATGTTTAACTTTAAATAAATTTGCATCAAAATATGATATGATAATTTCTATCGAAAGTAATTTTGTTATTTTTTTATATTTTCATAATTGATAATAACAACATTACTCTTAAATGTGCATAAAATCGTATAAGCATCAAACATTAACAAATCAATATAGTAAAATACTGTTAAAAGATTGACAATAAAAGTGAATAAATTATTGCACCTAGAAATACAGAGGAGAGTGTGGACATAATGGTGCGCAATGTAGTGCTTATAAGTTCGAGCCCTGTTTGGGCCACAACCATGTTTCCTCATACGACACCGGAACTGGTAATTACAGGAATTGCAATCAAGACTGATTATTCAAGATAACATGGACTTGCGGTCAAAATCGAGTCTTGATATTTTTGTTTAGAATATCAGTTTGTATTTTGTTAGATGTTTTAAGTCACACCAACACTGTTAAGATCTTACGGCGATTTTCCAGCTAGTGGAGGAAGACCTCAGATCCCCCATTGTGTATTAGTACATTATTTCAAGAACGAGCAAGCTCCTTAAACTCTACGCTAGAGATGCAAAGTGATGAAATCTATTTACATATAATGCAAACAAGTCCTACGTAAACTTCCCAGTTTTCTATGTGGTTTAAAAATTTGATAAATTCATGTGATTATTTGTGGCGTTTATCTTTACTGTTTTAAAAGTAAAAAATCTACAGAAGAATAATAACTGGCAGAAATATTAACCCCGATTTTATTTTCCCATCTTAATTTGATTTTTCGTAACTAATTTACAGAGTATGCATTTCGCTAAGTGCAACATTTCACAAAACATTTCATTTGAGTTTTCCTGATATTGTTAATAAGTTGTCATATTACATCCAAAACACTTTAATTGGGAAGGGCATAATTTAATGATGCTAAAACTTGTTGTCCAACCCATTTGCTTTTTGTTATATATTTATCATTTGTATAGTTTTTTACATGTATGTGCTGCAATAAAGTTTGTATAAAAACTTAACACTTGCATTGTCCAGTTTTCAACATAGAGAATGCCCAGAAAAGTTGTTTCCCTTGCTTCATTTGGAATTTCATATGTTTTCCCGTGGCATTTACTTTAATAATAAAACTATTATAATACAGGAATATACTGCCTCGCAGAAATATTGAATTTTATTTTATTTTCCCTTCTTAATTTAATTGTTCGTGGCTAATTTACAAAGAGTGCATTTCTCTAAGTGCAGCATTTCATAAAACATTTTATTTGAGTTTTGCTGATATTGTAAATAAGTTGTCATATTACAGCAAAATACTTGAATTATTTCAGTTTTCAACACATGGGACGTCCAAAAGTTATAATTCTTGCTATATGTGGAATTGTTTTAAATTATAATTGAAGACTTGCTTTAATAACATTTGAAAATGGGTTTTTTTGCTTAGGAAATTATTTAGTACTTTGAAGTTTTATAAAAAGTTCGTCACGTTAATTTTGTCAATTTGCATTAGTCACGTTTTAATTGCTATCAAAAAAACTTAATTGTTATTAATATGCATAGACTAACTCTAAGTAAAGATATTTTCATATATGTGACAGAAAAGCTTAAGAAATATGCACACTTTTTATCGGAAACTGTTAACAAACTACTGGCAACGGACAAGCCATACTATATAAAAAAAAATTAACACATAAATGACAATAAAATTAAAACAGTTAGCATAATAATTTATTCAATCTTTTCTAAAAGTTGGTTTTAATCATTTGAAGTATTGAAAAGGTAAAATTGAAATGACTCCTGAGAAGACCAGTGGTTGATTATCTGCAAATCAACCAGACAGAAAGATGATAGGTTTGTGCCTTAATTTCATTTGACACTAAGGGGGGGGGGGGGAGCATCGGGTTAGTAAGCCAGGCGTCGCTTGTTCGAACCTCGGGCTAGACGAAATGTCCCCGTGACAACTGATCTCGAACGTTACGTTTCATGGTCATTCAACTTTCATCCCCGATTAAAAATCATTTGACATAAGAAGTCGG